GCAGCAGCAGCAGCAGCAGCAGCAGAAGCAGCAGACTGTCGTTACACCTGAACTACACAGAAAGTGCATGCGCTGCAGCAGAGAAAACACTAATAAAAATATTTATTTAACAGACAGAAGAACTCTCCTCCACTGTATACGTATCCTAGACAAAGCGAAACGAAAACCTGCTGCTGCAGCTGCTGCTGCTGCAGCTGCTGCAGCTGCTGCTGCTGCTGCTGCTGCTGCTGCAGAGAGTAAGCAGCACAGTTTGCTACAAATACTGCTGCAACGTAAACACACATGCAAGCTCACCCCTTTCCCACTAACCCACTGGACAAATGCTGCAGCAGCAGCAGCAGCAGCACGTATAAGCAACGGCAGCAGCAGCAGCAAGTATAAGCAACAGCAGCAGCAGCAGCAGCAGAAACTTCACACAGGCAATGCTACACAGGCTGCCTCAGCTGAGCTGTAGCACTCGTTGCTGCAGCACTTGCTGCTGCAGCACTTGCTGCAGCACTTGCTGCTGCAGCACTTGCTGCAGCAGCAACTGCTGCTGCAGCAACTAGCAGCAGCGCATGCAAGCGTAAGAAAGCCCCCTTTCCTTTTTAAGGATAAAGAAACGCCGTAGTGGGGCCCCAGGCTGAGCCAAAAGGAAAACAATAAAACATAAAAAAAAGAAAACACTCTACATCATCTGCTGCTGCTGCTGCTGCTGCTTATACCTGCTGCTGCAGCTGCAGCAGCAGCAGCAGCAGCAAGTACTAGCAGCAGCAGCAGAGAGTTGATATCTTTTTTTTTTTTTTTATGCGGCTGAGTCGCGCTGCGTAAACAAAAGGATTAGAAGCCCAGCTTAGGTGTATAGACACCAAAAGCTAGAAAGAATAAAATAAAGTAAACAAATAATATAAAATAAAATAAAATAAATAAAATAAAATAAACCAAAATAAAATAAAATAAACCAAAATAAAATTAAAAGAAAAAGATGGAGGTTTCAGCTAGGTATAGTTAGGGGAATTGTTTCCTTAAAAAAAAGAAAAAAGTAAATCTATTTGGGGTGTATGCACAGATACAGCTCTACATATATATATATATATATATATATATATATATATATATATATATATATATATATATATATATAT